CTTACTGGCCAGAGGGCTCACAGCGCACAGAAAGGCCTCTTTGTAGGTATTAATGATGTCTGTACCATACCTCTGAGGGAGTAAACCATACTGGGGAGAGGAGCGGAACCCGGAGATGGTTATATAAAAATGTCCCTATGTCACTGGGCATGTGAAACAGTGGTCCTTCTTTTGTTGACAGATTTTAAAATAAAAATATATAAACGGAACAATTTGCAATATAAAGAGAATTCATAACAAAATTTTCCTATACTAGGTTTAGTGTCTAAACTATTAGTAGGATTTCGGATGCTTGAGACCAAATGCTCCGGGAAGAGTGAAGTGCCGCGGTCACCCTGGGCGGGAGGCCGGGGACAGCCGTTCCGGCGACCACGGTGCCGGGGCCCCTCCAGGGAGCTGGGCCTGGAACTGACGTCACAGAGTTTATTCTTTCAGAGGAATTTTCTGAGCCACATTTTAATGTTAATTAAAAGCAATACTCTGGTCACTTGTGTTAAATAGATGTTAAGACCGGCGTGTGAGAGAGAACCCCGCCTGTGGAAACTGTCCGTCCTGTGAAAACACGCACTGGCCACGGCACGTCCACGTTAGACGGAAAGTGTCCATTCGGGTGTGATGACGCTGCTCTTAAACGTCTCTCTTTATTTGTTTCTAAGAAGCAGCCCCATTACCTAATGGGTGTAATGAAGCTAATCATGCTGAACACACCACCATCACAGAATCGGCATCTAGGGTCGGTTACTCACCAAACGGAGACTTGAGCGGTGGCTGAGGCACAGGATGTCCATGCAGTGGTCCGAGTAGAGGAGCCGAGGCCAAGTGGCGGGACATTCGGTTTGACTTGAAGCCATTGGTGAGCGTGCACAGCGATGTCTGCCGGCCTCTGCCGCCCAGTTTGAGTTCATTGCCGAGGCGCCGGCCCTCTGCCCTCGGCGGCCGGTGCTCCCAGGACAGCGCTGCCGCTGGGCCTGAGCGGCCCCGCCCCGGGCGTGTGTGTGTGTGTGTGTGTGTGTGTGTGTGTGGCGGGGTGTGTGTGTGCATGTGTGTGTGCGTGCGTGTGTGTGTGTGTGCGTGCGTGTGCGTGTGTGTGTGCGCGCGTGCGTGTGTGTGTGTGTGTGTGCGCGCGCGCGCGTGCGTGTGTGTGTGTGTGCGTGCGTGCGTGCGTGCGCGTGCGTGCGTGTGTGTGTGTGTGTGTGTGCGCGTGCGTGTGTGTGTGTGTGTGTGTGCGCGCGCGCGCGCGCGTGTGTGTGTGTGTGTGTGTGTGTGTGCAGTGCCTCGCTGTGGGCTTTCCCTTCCTCTGTTGTTTCAGCAGGACTAGAGTTTCCAGGAGATGACCACTTAGCCCACATAGGAGAGGTTAGTGCTCTGCTCACTAAGTACCTGAGAGTTAAAGCTGCTCCAGGAAGCTGGGGGTCAGGTGGCGCCTCTGGTGCCTGACAGGAGTTGTGACGGCTTTGGTGGCGTGTCACCGGGGAGTGAGGGTGGCCCAGGGGGAGCCATGTGGGTGAGGTGCCGGTGGAATGTGGTGAGGAGGGCGCTGCCAGAGGACCCGGGTTGGAGTCGGCTGGCTGGGGGCTGCGTGCTGCCGCTAGCCTGGCTGTGAAACGATGGGCGCCCCTTACCTTCCCGGTGCCCCGTGTTCCCCCCGGACGTGGTTATGGCGGGGGTGGAGGCCGCCAGGCCAGGCCGCAGTGCTGCACGGTGAGTGTCAGTGGGGGCCGCGGTGCGGTCTGTGTTCTCTCCCCGCAGACACACCTGCAGCTCACGGTGCGGGCGCACAGGCCCCGGCTCACCCCGCCCGCCCTGCACCGTCCCCCACCCGTGTGCCCGGCTGGCTCGGAGGGACAGGCATTGGATAAATCAGTTAATGAATAAGAGAAGCTCTCTGCTAAGAAGTAAAACTTTTTAGAATTTACAAAATATCTAAAGAAAATATCAGAAAAGTTTGTTGGTTACAAAACTCTCTTCATAAAAGGCAAATGAGTTGCTGTCAATGAAATATTGTGCAGCTAATATATTCAGTTTGTTGCTAGGATACAATATGCCAATTGGGCTTTGCAGGACAGCAGGTCCTCCAATGACTGTTAAGCTCACCGCGTTACGTCCTGACAGCAATGAGCTGCCTAGAAACTCCGCTCTCTGCACCAGGAGCCCGGGGCCTTGCTCTCCTGTGGTCCGGCGGGACAGGGGGCCGTTAGGGGCCGGGAGGCAGACACTGTCCCACGCGGCGCACAGCTGTTTGGAGGGTGGAGTTAGAGAAAGTTCCCGAGATGGCCTGTGCTTCGAGTGGGGTGGCCGAGGCGCTGTGTGTGCAGAGGAGGGAAGAGCCCGCTAGGTGACACGGCTTCTGCAGGTGCAGATGTGGTGATGGTGAAGTGACGGGCACTCAGACCCTGAGGAGAAAGCAGGGACGAGATTTTAAGACAAGTGGGGTATTTTTGGTAAATGGGAGTAGGCTGTTTTCTCTCTGCCTCGGCGAACTCTAGGGGACTTTTAACTAAGTTAGGAATACGGATCCTTAAGCGGAAAGAAACCGTTGCACGCAGAGGAAAAGCCCGTTTCAGTGTCGGAAGACAGCCCAGGGGAAGGTGTTGTGCCACCAGTGTAGCCAGACCGTCCCTCCCCTGCCCTCTCTGCACCGCTCCCTGCCACATTTCCCATTAAAGTTGGATTTTCAGAAACTTGGCATTAATCCAAATTTTCGCTAAGTCGCAATCCACTGTTTTCGTGTTGGCTGAACTTGATAGACAAAAATGTGGCATTTAACCTTATTTTTATGATCCTGAAATTACTGCATCATTCTTCCTATGACTGCTGGAAAGGACACAAGAAGGTGGCAGTTTTTCCAGCTGATGAAATTGAACTTCATCTCATTAGTCACCAGAAAACTATGCACCACAGAGAAGGAGTGGCTCCGAGCAGAAACAGGCCCTCGCCGGTGGTGTGGTGGGACGGACCCAAGGGCCGCCCGCAGGGGGCGTCACCATGCGTCTCCTTCAGGAAGGGCACCTTCTGGAAAATTAGATGGAGAAACCTGTCTGGCATCACAGACCCAGAAACCACCACCAAAAGGCCGTTATGGGACCTAAATGGGTTTATTATCTCATGGCAAGTCAAATTCAGGTTACACATTTTTTGTCAGTGCAAGGAGAAGCTAATTGATGGTTTTATTTTTTATATTTTGTTTAAAAGCAATTCGTAAAGTGAAAAGAAATTCTTTTCATTATTACATTCTTTTAGTTTAAATATTTTAATTTTATTGATTTGAGAGATAGGAAAAGGGGGATGGGGAAGAGGGTAGGAAAGGGAAGGAGAGGGGAAAAAAATTGGATGTGTTGTTCCACTTATTCATGCATTCATTGGTTGCCACTTACATGTGCCCTGTTGGGATCAAACCCACAACCTTGGCAAATCAGGACGATGCTCTAACCAACTGAGCTCTCGGGCAAGGGCCTAAAATATTCTTAAGTTTCAAGAATCCTACTGTACTTACAAGAAAGAAAAAACACCTCTGAATAGACACGGTTTATTTTAGTCCAGAGCTACTGTATAAATGCAATCTGTTTTGACAGAATTTTCAGGATCAAAAAAAGCACTTTGGATGCTTCACTCTTAAGTGAATGTTTGCTAAGTCAGGTAGAAGGACCAGAGGAGGGCACGTGCCTTGCTCACAGCTCAGAAGCACCGGGAGCGCTGGCCCTGGCATTGCTGTGCTGTGCACGTAGCCAGGGGTGAGGGACAGGTTTGTGCCCATATAAGAGGCAGATTAAAATAGCTGCAACTTGGTTGTTTGTGTGATTTTTATTTAGTTATTGGAGAAATAAGAATTTAGCTTCATTTGACTTTTATTCCATACTAGGGGTCCAGTGCACAAAATTCATGCACGGGGGGGGGGGGGTGTTGTCCCGCAGCCCCATCTGAACCCTCTCCAATCTGGGAGCCCTCAGGGGATGTCCTACTGATGGCTTAGGCCTGCTCCCCATGGTTCTCTGCTCTCTGCAGACCTGCCTGCTTGACGGCATCGCAGGCCCTGGTCTGCTCTCTGTGGGGCCTGCTTGCCCTTAGCCGCTGGGGCCAGGAGCAAGCAGGGCCTTGCTATCTGCTCTCTGTGGGGTCCTGCGGGGGGGGGGGGGGCTGCTTGCCCCTCGCTGCTAGGGCCAGGGGAAAGCAGGGTCCTACTGTCTGCTTGCTTGCTGTGGACTGTTCGCTTACTGCAGGGACATTCCCACCCTGCCCCCAGCTGCTTGTGCATGTGTGCACTGGCTTGGAGCGCCTGGGTCCTGGGGATGTCCCCACCCCGCCTCTGGCTGCTCCTGCATATGTAGGCCTGGAGTGACCGGGGACTCGTTCTATAACCACAGCCACTCTGGGCTAGGCACAGGCCTAGAGGCTCAGAGCACCCTGGCTCCTGAGGAAGCCTGCTCCCGGAACGTAGTCCATTTGGCGCTGGCCCATGAGTAAGCAGCTGTCCAGCTTCCAGCCACTCTGGGCCTGTATATGCAAATTAGCCCACCATCTTTGTTGAGTTACTTTGCATACTCATCCCTGATTGGCGTGTGGGGGTTGTGGAAGTACAGTCAATTTGCATATTTTATTAGTATAGGTATTTATAAGATTTGTTTACTGATAGTAAAGGAGTTTACTTGGGAAAGTTCCTCTTAAGGGCTTAGCTTGCTTGCTTTTCAGTGATATAAATGTTTATTTTTAAAAAGCACCACAATGTTCAAGGGCTATAAAGCTTACCAACCAGAGGTGCCTGCCATTTCCTTCCTGTGAAGTGCCATCCCGCATCCTTGGGGTTCTGCTCACTCCCCGGAGCTCACACTGATTGCTCCGCCCCAGGTCTCCTTGCAGGTTTGTCCTTGACAACCTTACAGTCTCGGAATCGGGGCACTTCCTTCCTTTATAAGACCGCAGGCTCTCTGAAGGAAAGCTTTCGGACCTGTATGCTCCTGTCCTGCTATTCACCCAGTGGGTAACTGTCTCCTCCTGTGTTGCAGGCCACCTAGAAGACCCACTCCACTCGGCGGAGGCTGCCCCGGCAGGGCAGGCGGGCAAACGGGAGGATATGGATGGTGTAGAGCGCAGGCTGGAGAGCATTTGAGAGTCCCGGGGGATAACTGCTCCCGGCTGCACAGAGAGGGCGCCGTCTCCGATGCAGCTGAGGAAGATGCAGGCCGTCAAGAAGGAGCAGGCCGCTCCGGACGCCGGCTGCAGCGCGGACAAGGCAGTGATGCTCAGCGCGGCCTTGACGGAGGTCTCCGAGGACTTGTCGCCGGGAGAGGAGCTGCTCCTGGGTGAGGGGAGCGTGGGGAGAGGCAAGGCCTCCGCGTGCCGGAGGAAGCGGGAGTTCATCCCCGACGACAAGAAAGACGCTATGTACTGGGAGAAGCGGCGGAAAAATAACGAGGCTGCCAAGAGGTCACGGGAGAAGCGCCGGCTGAACGACCTGGTCTTGGAGAACAAGCTGATTGCTCTGGGAGAGGAAAACGCCACTTTGAAAGCCGAGCTGCTTTCCCTGAAACTGAAGTTTGGTTTAATTAGCTCCACGGTGTATGCCCAGGAGATCCAGAAGCTCAGTAACTCTGCGGCTGTGTACTTCCAGGATTACCAGGCCCCGGCCGGCGGGGGAGCCTTCGCAGAGGAGCCAGCGGCCAGTGGCTGCATCTCGGTCATCAAGCACTCCCCGCGGGGCGCGCTGGACGGCGCCGGGGGCTCCCCGGAGCACGGGCAGGAGGGCGCCACGCCGAGCCAGAGCAGCTGCCCCAGCCCCGCCGGCAAGCTGCAGGCCATCAAGCAGGAGCCGGTGGAGCTGGAGAGCTACGCCCGTGAGCCCCGGGACGACCCCAGCGTCTACCGCACGTCCATGTATCAGAACTACGTGGGCAGCTCCTTCCCCAGCTACTCGCACTCCCCGCCCCTCCTGCAGGCCAGCCCGTCTTCCAGCAACTCCCCGAGGACCTCGGAGGCCGAGGACGGCGCCGTGGGCAAGTCCTCTGACGGAGAGGATGAGCAGCAGGTCCCCAAAGGCCCCATCCACTCTCCCCTGGAGCTGCAGCACGGACACGCCGCGGTGGTCAAAGTCCCAGAAGCCTCCGCTTTGCCGCACAAGCTCCGCATCAAAGCCAAAGCCATGCAGGTAAAAGTAGAGGCGCTGGACGCTGAGTTTGAGGCCGCCCACAAACTCCCCTCGCCTGTTGGCAGGACGGCCCAGAGGCATTTCGGACTCGAGAAGCTCAGCGCCCCAAGTGCGGCCCCCCCGCCCCTCACTCCTTTCTCAGTGCAGGTGACCAACATCCAAGACTGGTCTCTCCGGGCAGAACACTGGCATCAGAAAGAGCTTGTGGGCAAAACTCAGAGTAGTTTCAAAACTGGAGTTGTTGAAATGAAAGACAATGGCTACCACGTTTCCGACCCAGAGAGCTTGTTTTTGAAGCAGGGCATGGCAAACTTGTCTGCAGAGGTGGTCTCGCTGAAGAGACTCATAGCCACACACCAGATCTCTGCTTCCGACTCGGGGTGAGTTACTACTGACCCGCCTCCCGCACGGGGCGGCGCTCCTGGCCTTCGATGCTGTGTTCTGTGCCAGGCTGAGTTCCACTGGACCCGTGACGTCATTTCACTGTACTGTTCATCGTCGTCTGTCAGGTCTCTTTTTCTGCACAAATTATTATGAAGATTAGATTGTGTTATCACCCTGCCTGTGTATAGTCAAATAGTCCATGCAAAGGCTGTATATACTGAACATTATTTTTTTGTTCTATTATAAAGTGTGTAAGTTACCAGTTTCAATAAAGGATTGGTGACACACAGAATCTCTGCTCCATTGCACTTGATTTTAGGGTAAAGAAAAGCCATTTAGATATGAAGTATTCTGCAATTTACTTATTTAGGGGTTTTTCTCCCCCAGAGTAAGGGAAAACTGAAGTGTAAGTGAATAATTTGTTTTTCTTCTAATTTGGCCCAGGCTATAAGTGAAAATCAAAGAGGGGGGGAAGTAACAATGGTTTTCTTGCATTTGAGACTACTTTTGCTAATTTGCTCCCCATTATCTGTTTTTCTTTAAAGTTAAGTTTTCTTCACATTTTTTAACTAGAAAAATCCAATATTTTTGGCATCAGCTTGTCTTTAGTCATCTCTCTTTAAATATGACACATGGGTGTGAATCATTGAGTCACTGACCCACTTTATTAATTAGAGGCTTTTTAAAAGGGTGAATAAAGACTAAAGGTGAAGTCATTTTTTAAATGTTATTGTAAATCTTAACAGTTCTAGAGTATAGTCATCTAGGGAAGTAACTTAATGAGATTGTTTTTATTTAGTTTCCAAAATTTTGAAGAGCATTATCAGTTATCACATTTCAACATACATGGTCTGGGTCTATATAATGACTTGTGTTTTTTATGATTTGTCAGTGAATGTAAACAATGGTTCTAGCTCAGCACTCTGTAACACACACACATTCCAGGAGAAGCCTCCTGGAAACACCTGCCCCCCTGCTCCCCACTGAAGCCCTCCACGGAGCTGAGCCCACTGCACAGCCTTCAGCTCGCACAGACGCGCAGGCCTGCTCTCCGCTCCTGCCCGGACAGCCAGCAGCAGCCTCGCTGCGTCCGCTGCGGGTTCCCGGGCATGGGGCAGTGGGAGTGCCGGGCCGGCATGGCACCCGCATGGCTGTGCTGAGCAGCAGCCTGGCCCATTGGAAGAATCTGCCGCTGCTGCCATCTCCCCGTGCCAGCCCACCAGGCGCTGCCAGCGAGCCCGCCCTGTCCGACCTGCAGCCTCCGGGCCGGCTGCCCGTGCCCGCAGTGCTCTCCCGGGGGCAGGCCCGTGCGGCGCAGGGGCGGGGCTTGTACCCTTTGGGTCCCATGAACACGGGGGCTTGCACAGCTCTTCTCCCGCCTCCATCCGCCCCCCCCCCCGGCCCCGCCTCCCACTGCTGGTCTTGGCCCCACCGGCTTCGATCACAGAGAGGAGAGGGGTCACAGAGATGAGAGGAGAGGAGGGGAGGGGAGGGGAGAGGAGAGAAGGAGGAGGTTAGAGGAGGAGGAGAGGAAGAGGAGAGGAGGGGAAGAGAGAGAAGAGGAGAGGGGAAGGGAGGGGAGGGGAAGGGAGGGGAGGGAAAGGGAGGAGAGGGGAGGAGGGTGGGGCTTAGAAGCCTGAACCAGTGAGGATGGAGCAGGAGGGGGAGGGACATTTGGAACTGGCCTTGGAAGCCCTGGCCAGGGGGGCGTCACAAGGCCAGGGCCTGGTGGGACTTCACTGTCACGGGAAGGGGCGAGGTAACAGTGAGGGCGACCACTGGGGCCTCCAAGAGTCCTTTCCCACGCATTCCCGTGCCCTCCTCCTGGCCCCTCGTCCTGACGTGGTGCTCAAAGACGCCTCACGAGCGTTTGTGGCCGGTGCCTGGGGAGCTTGAATGTGAGGAATTGAGTCTGTACTTCCTGCACCCCGGGTTTTACATGTCTGGGTGTGGGGGGTAACGTCCCTCCATAGAGGAAATGTATTAAATTATAAAATTAAAGGCTGGCTAAGTCCACAGCCAGGGAAAGCGGTAAGCTAACGAGGCACGCGGAGGGGGCTCAGTTCCCTGCAGCCGCCATCACCGCTGTGGCCTGTGGGCCGTGGCAACACAGACAAGTCAGACTCGAGGGCAGCGTCCGCCCGCGCCCGGAGGCCAGCAGCGGCGCTCACGGCTCCCTGCGGAAGAGAACGCGCTAAGAAAACTTGATGAATTGCCCCAACGGGGACGCCCCTTCTCTGAGGCTTGTGAGGAGGGAGGACGGACTGGCCGAGCGCAGGGCCGAGCTCTATGGGAGGCGGCGGCGGGCCGTGTGGCCGCAGCCCGGGAGGTGCCTTCGGAGCGGCCGCTGGGAGCGCCGCCTGTGAGCGTGCCACCCGATGCCCTGACTTACTCCGTGTTCCTCTGATTTCTAGAATCTGAGATATGGCTGGGCTGGTGTTCAAAATGCTACGCCTTCAAAAAAAATGGCTGTCCAGCCAGCATGGCTCAGTGGCTGAGTGTTGGCCGGTGAGCAAGGAGGTCACGGTTTGGTTCCCAGTCAGGGCACAGGCCCAGGGTGCGGTCTTGATCCGCCGTGTGGGCATGCAAGAGGCAGCCGGTCCATGATTCTCTCTCATCGTTGATGATCTATCTCTCCCTCTCCTCCCTTTCTGAAATAAAAAAAGAAAAACACTTAAAAAGGTAAATAAGTACCAGGATGGCGTAGCTGGCAGCCCTCTCCCCGCCCTCTGTCCTGGAGGGGGGTGAGGAACGCTGCGCCGCCCCTCCGCCTGAGAGCTCACAGCCCCGTGGGCGCAAACTCATCAGCCCACAGAGCCAAATATCAACGCGGCAACGACTGACATTTCTTTTGAGAACCACAGTTTTTAAACTTAAACTTCTAACACCACTTCTTCAAAATAGAATCACTCAAGGGGCCAAAGAGCCGCGTGTGGCTTGTGAGCCTCGGTTTGCCGACCACGGGCCTAGACGATGTGCGATGGTCTATGCCCAGTGACCCTGCCTGCGCTCAGGCGAGCAGCAGAGGCCGGACAGCAGACGTCACACCCCAGCACCGGGCACGGAGGCGGACATACGGTGCGTTTCTCTCCACCGCCCTGCAGGGGCGCGGGAGCAGGGGTGTGTGTGTGGGCTCACAGATGGGCAGCCCCACTCAGCCCCCAGCAGCACACCCTCCTGTGGCCAAGCATCTCATTGTTTTAGCTGCTGTGCCCATTCTATAAAGGAGAACACGGAGACAGAGAGGTTAATCGCCAAAGCTGCCGTGGCAGCCAGAAGCCAGGCCCGGGAGCTACCGAGCGCCCCTGGCCCAGGCCCTGCGAAGGCCGAGAGCAGGCCTCAGAGGAAGGGGCATCGCAGGGCGTGTCCAGAGGGAGAGGCTTCTCTCTGGGACTCGGAGAAACTGCTCTCTGAACACCCCTTCCTGCTGCCGCACGTCCCGTAAGAACTCGGCTTCTCATCTTCGAGGCCCAAACACGCCAAAATGAGAACAGCCGCTGTGTGGCCCAGCTCCCTGGGCTCACACGTTACCTCTTCTGAGGCTCAATCCCTCTTCCCGCCGGCTCGTCACACTCTTCAACTCATTTCTCAGCCCAGACACTTTCCCTTAAACATGAGAATCCCTGGGCCCCGCTGGTTTTTGAGATGACTTTCAGGGAGCCCACGGCCTGTGAGCCCTAGAAACATTTGAGAAAAACTTGCCAAGAATGTGAGATTGTGGGACATTCAGGATAACCGCAAGATGGGGAGACGTAAGGAAATTCAGAATGAACTGCAGTCTGGAATGTGAAGGTGTCTTCACGGGAGGCTCCATGTCGGTGGGTGTGGTGACGGCAGTGTGCCCACGGAGCCCCTGAGACCGAGCCCAGGCCTGAGGTGGCACGGGCAAGGCCGATGGAGCTGAGAGGGCCGCCTGGCACCGAGGGCGAGCAGGCAAGTTAGGAGGTGACGGTGAAAGAGTGAGGCCTCTTGCTCAGGAGGCGGCAGTCTGCACGCTGGCCACGCCTTGCAGACAGAGGACACACGCACAGAGCAGTGAGCGGGGCGGCTGTAACTGCCGGCCTGTCTCTGGTGTGTCAGTGCTGTCCGCGTGGAAGGAGAAGGTGACTTTGGGGAAGGTGCCGAAGAGCTCTGGAGGGTGGGAATAGGCTCTGTGAAGGCAAGGTGCATGGACCCGGCCTGGAGGGACCTGGCCTTGGGGACCCGGCCTATGGGGACACTGCCTGGGGGGACCCAGCCTGGGGGTCCCAGCCTGGGGGAGCCCGGCCTGGGGGGACCCGGCCTGGAGGGACCCGGCCTGGGGGGACCCGGCCTGGGGGGACCCGGCCTGGGGGGAACCAGCCTGGGGGGGCCCAGCCTGGGGGGACATGGGCCTGGGGGGGCCCGGCCTGGGGGGGCCTGGAGGGGTACAGTGCATGCCGCAGGGGGCGTGGTGACTGGGAGGGGAGCAGCAGGAGACCTGGGAGAGAGCCACCTTGACTCAGGCAGAGGTGTGAGTGTGACGGGGTTAAGGACGTTATTCTAACAGCTGTGCTGGGTCTTCCCTGGAGAGGAACTTCCTCCTGAAAAAATAACCCGCTGCCCTGAGCTCCAGGAGTCGCAGCAGAGGGAGAGGGAGAGGCAGGGTGGGCGGTGGTTGTGTGCTCAGGTAGGGCTGGGGCTCCCTTTGGCAGGAATAGGGGGGAGGAAAGCGGAGGGCCTGCTGGAGAGGAGCAAAAACACTTCTTCCCTTTCCCCGTCCTGCTGTCCTGTCTGTGACGGGGTCTCTGGTCTGCAGGCGCTGTCCGGGGAGCACCCTGCAGAGCAAGGCAGCGCGCTGGGAGCCAGGGCCTGGGTGCCGGGTGCGGCGAATCCTAGGGCAGGGGCCTGCAGAGCCAGGGCTGAGGGTGGGGGAGGGGGGGCGCATCTGGCCAGCATGCCGCTGAGGCCAAGGGGCCGTGGTGCCTGGGGTGGGAGGCCTGGGGACGACGTGAAGAGGGATTGCCTGTGTGCCCAGCCTGTGCTGCCTGCAGCAGCATCTCCTCGGAGACTGGATTTGCTTGTGAGGAAAAGACCAGAACCCTGGAGCGGAGCAGCCGCAGACATTGTGGGGAGGCGGGCACGTGGGGCAGGTGCAGGTGGAAGGGGCTCCGGGCCTGCCTGCCCAGCGCGGGGCTGAGGACGCTGTGGGAGTGGCCTGGGCTGCAGGGCGGAGAGCAGGGTCAGCCCTTCCTGGGACGGGGGAGGCCCTCGGCATCGGAGTGGGTTTATTTAGAGGACTGGGCAGAAAGACCTTCAGGAGGAAATGGA